GTTCGATTATCAATTTTTTTCTTGAAGTAATGATTATTATTAACAACAACAATAATAGACTTAATCAGCCTTTGATTATGTTTGTTTGTTCGTACTGTTTGTGTATGTGCTGTGCAGGTTCTCCTATGGACTATACCTATTCAACATCAAGACGATGGGCATCGTTGGATACGGTTGTTGTCGGTAATTTACATTAATTTTTGAATTTTGATTACATTCACGAACACAAACTACGATGAGTCCAAATCACATCTTCGTTCTCTCTTCTAACAAGCAGAACGTCGTATTTGGTTCAGTTGCCCTTTCTGGATGTTATTCAGTTCATATGCTGATGGTACTATCCCCGTTTTATTTGTTTTATCCACTTCTTGCTTCACTCTCTTTCCTCAATGTTTCCACCGCTACTGCATGCATAAAATTTCTTATTGCTCTGTTACTTTATCCCTTCTGATGTCGGGCCTCGTTATTATTATCGTTGCTATTATTACTATTAAAATTATTATATAGGAATTAATTCTGTGTTATTTTGTACTTTAAAGTTGCATGACCTACTGTTTAAATTGGTTATTGAAAGGATATGAATTTAATTTATCCGTCATTGAAGAGCCAATATCTGCTTTGCTAACTGCACCATCTCATACAGTCAACTGAAATNTATAAGTACTTCATCGATTAGCACGTTTCCCTCGCATGATAGTTGACTTGTACTCAGTAATAATTTTAGCAACAGTAATACTTTTATCTTTTTTGATTTTTATTATCCGGTTGTTCAGTAATACCATCTCCATTGCAGATGCAGTATCCCTGTTTTTGAATAGTTATTTTATCGTTGAGAATTGAGCATTTATTTGAATTTTTCATGAACGTCAGCAAAGAAGTATGATATTGGTCGTTTAAGGTTACGATATGTCACAGCATGTAAGACGTTATGGTAAGTATATAAGCGAAAAGATTTATACTTATCGATTGTGTGCATATGACTTCTGCAAGGTGAAACGTGGTCGAGAGGACGGTCTACTGCGAACAATGAATACTGATAAGGTAGTGTCTCGTTTTCATCTGTTTGACAGTCATACCTCCTAGAAATGCTTCATTATTTTGTTTATTTATTATCGGGAAATACTTTTATTACGAATGTCATCAACACACCTGTTGTTTTCATTATGAAAATAATTATAATGAATGTGTTAATAATGGCCGTTATTATTATTATTATTGTGATTATTGCGTTAATTAATTTAGTTGAAAGTGTTGAGTTAAAAAAGTGTATCGCTTCATGAGTTTACGAAATGCATGTTCTGTGATAAATTTCAGTTATTAAAAACGTTGCCAATTCTGCAAAATCAGATTGATGCTCTTCTGCAATTTCAAGTGAGTGAATAAATATTCTATATTCGAAAAATTTTTTGTTGGAAATTGTACGCCATTTGTTGATTCAGTGATTGTTGGTTAGCACGATCTCAGTTGAACGCTTGTCTTAGATTTAAATATTTCTACATATTGATTTAAATAAAATAAGCTAATTTTTAAATTTGCGTTTGAAGGTTACGTCAAGTGAATTGAACAACGGTGTTATCAACTGCTCTTTCATATTACTATTTCGTGATCTCATTCGTTTATTTGCGTGTTATAATGATGGTGTTATTAATTTATTGGAGAAATATTTTGATATGAACAAAAAACAGTGTCGAGAGGCGCTCGATATGTACAAGGCTTTCTTGGTTCGTTTCATCGGATAATCACTTGATTAATTCCTTCTATTTTACTCATCTTCTATCCATCTGTTCAGTTCATTTGGTACATGTCGTTTAAGGATTTTCAAAATTTCAGTTACGATTGGATAAAGTGGCGGAATTCCTAAAAGTTGCCGAAACGGTCGGTATTGATCGTGGTGAAATTCCAGATCTGACACGTGCACCCGCCTCGTTACTCGAGGCGCTTGAAGCTCACCTTGTGCATTTGGAGGGCGGTAAAATGCCACCATCAACGAATCATGTTCGCTTATTATTGTTTTTGATTTTTATTAGTTTCGTCGTAATTGTAGTTTATCTTATTATTATTATGCCTCTGTATTTAATAACTGTTTTCAGCAATTATTTTGTGAATATATATGAAAATAAACGAGTGAATTGCAGAGCGAACAGTTTGCAGCTGTGATGAGTCAATCGTCTTCGCTTTTCAAATCCGATAATCAGTCAGCTGTTATCGAAGATTCAGCCAAAGAAAAATATTTGAAAGAAGAAAAAGAACGATTACGTATGTTTGAGGTGAATATTTAATGCTTTGCTTTGAATTCAAATTTGAACCCGATTTCTACGTTGGTCATCATTCGTATTGAACTTACCGGCGTTCAGTTCGTCTCTGTCAGTAAAGAGTGGCTTAATGTGAAATATTTGCATTATTCAGTAAATCATCTCACAACAAACGAATACTGAATTGTAAATTTTAATCGCTAATGTTAAAATATCAGTTGATTCTGATAATGATGATTTGAAAGGAACAACGTAAAAAACATGGAGCAGCCATGACTAACGCATCAGAAATGAATCTGGTGAGTGATGCAACGAATCCGTTCGCGAACGCAGTTGCAATGAATATTGAGAATCAGCAAGCAAGCCAAGCTCAGTCACATAAACCCAGCGATGACTTGTTGTCATTGTTCGATCCTGTTGTTTCGTCACTTGCTAACAGCACTCAGCAACCCTCTTCTACCGCACAAATGATGGCAACCACTGCAGCCACTACAGCTCCTCTCAGTACGAATGCTGCTCATACGACCACTTCTTCTCTGAACCTTGACCCCACCAATCCTTTTGCACAAAATATATTCCAGCAGCAACCTATTATGACAACATCGAACGTTGTCAACACACGTATGTCTCTTTTATTCTCTTCATTCATAAAGATTTATCTATTGACACGTCCGTTCAATTGTTCCAATCCATAACTATTTGATTCAGCCTTTACAAGCACAGTACCAGCAGCAACGTATCCAAACGTCTCAACGAATGCCGCACCACCAACTTTCGGTGCGGATTTCTCGAGAGCATTCACCAAAAGTGCATCAGCAATTCCAGCTCAGCAACAGCCGTATGGTGCGTTTCGTCGAATTTCGAAATATTTTTGCTCTTATATTTCTTTTTTTTTCATCTATTTTTATCATTCGATATGAAGTTGTTGTGTCTTTTGTTCATTCTTAAACAAGGATTTAATGGATGCGTGATTCAATTCGTTCAAAATTAGATTGTTCCTATTTTTGTGTTATTTTTTAATGAAATGGTTGCATACCTTACTATCGTATACTTGTGAGCACGTGTCATCGTCCAATTCGCTAATCGTGTGTAAATTTTGTGTATTTTGTGGTGATGTGGTGTGGTATATTGTGGTATGATGTATTGTTATAATTGATATTGTTGTTGGTTTGTGTCTTAATCATAGCTAATTGATCTTATTCAATTCACGATTGATTCTATAATCGAACGTCTTCTATTCATACTACTGCTTACAAAGGCGCTCCCCTGACCGACAGCTAAAGAAGCTGAAGAACTCGTAATGTTGTGGTATATCTGTATTTATGAATGTTTTATGTGTTGCCAAATTGTGTTATACTTCTATCTTATTTACCTTAATTAGAAATCCAGAGGAGGTAAGGTTGTCGAACTTGCACAGGAGGGGAGGGCTGTTGGGGAGTGTGGATCTATGGAAAGCGGAGGTTTGCTGAGATGAAGTGCATAGATTTCAAAGACTTTGAAATCTGAAGGCAGGTTGCTGAATACGCTAAAAAATATCTCGTCAAGATAAAGCTATTGAATCGCTGAATTAGTATTTATGGTCGTTTGAATGAGTTTGACTCAAGTGATTTTTAACAGAAATTTAGGATAGATGTGTTTTCTTTAAGAGATCAATTAAGGGGAGGAATTGATTAAGGTTATACTAGGTTTTTTAATCCTTTTCCAGATTGTAGGTTTTTATTTTGGAAACAGAAGTTGAATTGACGATTGAAACTTAGAATATTCACTGATTATTTTTTGTTTGATCTTGACATTCTCGAATATGTTATGCTCGTAGTGAACAGTAGTTAGTATTGTTTTTGACTGGATGATTGGTTGATTGCGATGAAAGTGAACTGAAAGCGAATGGGTCAGGTGCTGAGAGTACGAATCCGTTCATGATGCCATCGAGCACTGAAGGATCTGTCGAAACGACTCACGAAGCACTATTGTCACAACAACAACAACAGTCATGGGTACCCATCAGCGATCTACAGCAGCAATACCAGCAACCAGAACATGACTGGAACAATCAGACGAACACCGCAGCAGATTCCAGTTCGAGTGGCGATGAAACTTCAGCAACTGCACTCTCAACGCACACTGAAACTGTTAATCAAGCTCTGCGAAATCCATTCGGTGCTATGCAACATAACGCACAAGGTATTCGTTGCTTCTGCTTTCCAGTTTGAACATATTGTCGTAAAGCTTTTCTTGACGGTAATCATTCTCGAGCAACGGTCCTTAGGTGATACGAACTCTAAAAAAACAGTGGAAATGAGTTCAGCTATTCAAAAAGTTATCATTACAGCTCTGCATACGGCCGGTATTAACGCAACTGTGGCCACTCCGCTGCAGTCGGAAGCTCCGACTTTTTGTACAACGGCCTCGAATAATTCATCTGGTGAACGCAGTTTTATATTTTGTTGTCTTTGTCCCATGCTGTCATTATTATCTTGCTTATTTGTTTCTCCACGATTTTAATTCGATCTCAAAGCGTTTGCTACGTCATTTGAAAAGAAAACTCGTTGATTTAGCCGCTCCGTCGCCTGTTCCCTTCGGAGTGTCATCGCAAAGTGCAGCGCAAGCTGTACCACAGCAACAACAAGGTCAACAGACACTTGGAATCTATGATCAGACGCCATTTTGTTGGTTCTTTGCTCAGTTTCATTCTTTTTTCTTAATCGAAATTTGCTTCATTATTGAAACATAAGCGTATTCCCTTTTTTAGCACATATGGACGGCAGTTATACGTCATCACCAGTATTCCCACATCATATGCAACAACAGCAACAGCAAGGTGTTGATGCAACTGGTTCGTTAGTTGAGGAAGCATCCATAGATTTTGGTGATTGATTTTTTTTTCAGATTTTCTTCTCCTTTAATTCAGATTCTCCTTTAACATTCGAATAAAATTCATGAATGAAGCATTCTTAATTAATGCATTCGGCAGTGAAATACTCCTTTATCGGTACCAAACTTTAGAATTACGCAATTCATTGAACGAGAGTCATTTGGTGTTATTTTTGAATTGAATAATACTACATCGAATTGAAATTGTTATCAGTTCCAAACTATTCAGTATGAGCATAAATTCACTAGTGATCTATTTGTCTATATATTTTCTTGCTCACTTTTTTGAATTCATCGTTCAATTTCGTTTCAAAATTATGAATTATTGTTATGGTTTTCTCAAGCATCAATTTCTGTTCAGAAATAATCCGCACATTCACCTTTTCAGACTTGCACAATCGAGTATTTCTCTGTTGTTAGTTCTTTTATTGAAGTTATTTGATCTAATGAAACTATTGAACGTAATTTTTATTTTAGGTGCACCAAACATTGCAGGTGGTTAGTTTTTCTGAACATATTAAACGTTTTGATGTTGATTTGTGATTAGTTTGTTTGTTTCATATTTCGTGTTTAGTTATTGATGCATTTGTTGGTTTATAGAAAGGAGTTTTATTGTGCTCGTTTGTTGTGTTGTTATTTGTGATTGTTAGCGATTGTTATATCTGGTGTTGATCAGTTCATATTCTGAAATAAAACTTATTTGATGTGATTATTTTCTAATTTATTTTACATCTGTCGAAATGTTGTGTTTTTATTTTTGATAAAACATGATACTTCAAAATTGGTTATGCGCCCACAATTATGAACAATTTGATTCAGATGCTTTCGTATATTATTGATGGTTTCTTGATGTTGTATGAATGTTTATTTTTTTGTGACGATGTGCTCGTATCGCTTGTCATCCATCTTATATTGAATGTTATTGAGTTCCTGGATTTTTGTTACGCTCTGTTGAAGATGCATTCTTGCATACTAATGATGGTAAACAAGCGAAATTCGATCGGATTTTGACCGAACTTTCGGTTTTTAAATTTTTAAGTCGTTTTGATAGTTATAGAAGTTTATAATTTAAAAAAAGGACTAATTCGAATTCGTACCGAGCCAAATATTCGTTCTTTTATCATCACTAGTACATAATTTGTGCTTTATCCTAGAGCATTAGTTAGATGGAAAGAAATGGTTGAATGATGATTCAATTTCAGGTAATAGCTCGATAGATGCATACTCTCAACAACAATTACAATCATCACAGCAAGCCACTAAATTCGGTGCTAACGATTTGGACAGTGCGTTGTCGTCTTTAGCCGATAACCTATCGATCGCTGGTGGAAAGGCTGCTGCAGCTAGTCAAGGGTTAGTTCTTATTCGGTTACGTTCAATTTTATACTGTAGATGCTTCAGTAAACCAGTGCAATGGAACAGTCAAAGTAGTAACGCAGCTGTGATACGTCCACCAGCAGCACATCAAGTTACACCAGCGCAGATGCCTTTTGCACAGATGCCACCGCAACAATGGCCTCATCCATTACAAGCTTATCAGCCACAACCAGGTTTAGCATCACTTTTTAGTTGAGAAGTGATCAGATAATAAATAACAAGCAAAAACTTAGGTATGTACGGTCAGCAAGCAATGATGAATGTGTATGCTCAACAAGGCTTTGGGCAACTGCCTTCAGCTGGGGTATACGGAGTTGGTGCAACAAGTGCAAGTGCACCGTTGACATTGCCATCCTCATCAGCACCAACAACAACCACCACGAGCACTGCAAACAACACACCGCAATCAGCACTACTGCAGCAGTCCTCTAGTCAACATCCGTTCATGTGATATTTGTTTATGTTTTGTTTATCGAGCACTTTTATTATCGTCTTGTAGAGCCCGGTTCTCATCTTGTTGTATTTTTATACACCATCCATCAACTGCATGTCGTGGAATCACCCATGGCTTCTGTAATTGTTTAAGTGTTAGTTGTAATATCATCCCACTTATTGCATCAATGAATTCATCTTCAGCAGTGTTCTCCTTCCGTCATTATCAATTCTTCCATTTTAGCATTCCTACTCCGTTGACTTCAACGCAAACTGTGAAAATTTTGTTGTGAGCATTTGAGAGGATTTCTTAAGTTTTATTTTAATATTGCTCTGGTAGCATTTATCAGTGGAATTATTTTATTTTTATTGTCACCTTTGTTATCGTTTTTTATCAGTTACTGTTATTAGTATGTGATTACAATTCACGAGATCTTCACTCGCCACTGTTATACTTTTTCCTTTCCGTCGTCGTGATTGTCTTTGTTTTGTTTCCAATACTCCATATTTTCAATCGACTGAAAATATCCACCGTTACCGAACTCATTGGTAAAACAAACTCACTATTCTCTCTGATACCGTATGCTATTCATTGTGAACTCTGATGCTTTGATTTGTGTGGCAAGTGTAATTTTCAAAAAGGAGTGTATGTTTTTTGCGTAGGTAAAGGAGTTCGTAGTAGTGAATTTATTTGTTTGGGCATTTCGAAAAATGGCGAGTGCAAATTTCTAATTTCCGAAGGAAAGTAAATGGAAGGCTACTATCAATTGTATCTGTTCGTATCATGTATCCTCTCTTCACTATAACAGCAATGTTTTGAAGTAATCGTTACAATCGATTTTGAATGAGAGGCTTCTGAATTGTTGCGCTGTTATTGACTTCTGGTAGAGAGAAGTTGTGCCGTTCTGAATTGGGGACAGCTGTTGTTCTCTTTGTCCATCGCAGACATTTCCTCTGAGGGGTGATCTTTCGGAATTTAAAGCTGTAAAATCGATGCTCTAAATCCATCTAATCAACAATACCATCGCCATTTTGCCAGAATGTGCAGCTTGAACTCAGACATCCGAAATGTTGAGATTTGATTCAAATGCTTCTGTACTTTTTATTGCTGTATTGATAAAGGCACATTAGGTAATGCACTCGTATTGCAAAAATCAGAATGCTTAACAAACCACTTTGATTGTGAATATAGTGTAATCGCGAAACGAGAATCGTTTGACTTGTGCGAATTTGGAATCCGATTAAGGTTTAGCTGCCACAAAAACTGAACCAAGTTTTATGACAATTGTAGTGCATACATGAAGTTGAATGTTGAAACGGATGATATGCATTTGATTATGGCGCCCACTACCCTTCACCTCCCTCCCCTCATTACCCACTTTCATCTGTGGACTACAAAGCACTTTTACTTTGAATGGTACATATGAATTTACATCTAGAATTCATTGACATGTGTTATTGGTGTATTATACTTTTTTTTTTCTGAATGAGCAGAATATTTCTTTTGCAACATTACGCTTGCATGTATTCATCAGTTAACAGATAGTTATTTTATATTCGCTGAATGGTATTTTTTTACTCACCTTCTTTCAATTATCAGTGTTTGTTTTTTATCGGCAGGGAAGTTGTTTTCCTGTTCGAATTGCGCTCGAAACAAAATTATGTCATGATGGAGAGGGGGAAGAACGAAATTTGATTGGGACACTTTATGGTATTATAATTTTCAGTTGAGAGAGTTGTACGTTGTTTAACAAGAAATTTACTGTAATTTGCTATTGTTCCAATCAATAAGAAGCGTTTGATCGCTCTTCATTTGCTTTGAGTAATTTGTATCGCGATATTCAATTATGCGATAATATATTGTGGCATTGTTAGTTTGTGGCATCGTGGACAATAATAATTTCGTCATAATTTATCATTTTTTAAAACTGTTGGCAATTATTAGTCTTTACAGTTTCGCGATTTTTATATCATTTCATTTACTGACCATTTGAAACGTTGTTTTCAAAGATGATTCTCCGACGTTTATGCGGATACAATAAATTATTCTCGTTTCGAACGATATTTCGTGTAACTCGAGTTATTCATACATTCCTTTTTCGTTTTGTTCATTCTGCATTTGGATGAGTTTGTGTTGTTGTCCACAAACTGACGTTTATTCTTTATTTTTGATTCCATTTGTTCGTTCCTTCAGTCGCTGTTCTTATAGATTTTCAATTATTCAATCAGTTTTATGTTCTGAATATTGAAGTAATTAACAATGCTAATGAGTTGATAGAGCTAATGATAAGTTTTTTGAGAAAATAAGGAGATCGGTATGTATTGCCTGCTGTTGCTGGAATTAATCACTCGAATTTAATATAAAATGAATATCATCCTTGAATGATCACTGTCTTTACTGAAATCATTTATCAACATCATTTATAATCATTATTATTGTCAAGAAGTCAACGTGGTTCGATGATAAAAGTATTTTTATTGATTTCGATTGTGATCGCACAAAGATCTCTTGATCGTTTGCTGTAACAATGTTCTCTTGAATGCCGAGTGCGGAGTGTTGCATCTGGCGAGCCGTGATCTTGTTTCACTCGGAACTGATCCATCCTAACCATTGGCTTTCACTCTTGCAACACTCATCACAAAGATCCCGTCATTCGATGATTCAGAACAATCTTAAATGGTGTAAGCTTAGAGTAGCGACTAACCTTGAAACGCTGAAATATTTCATCCTAACAAACGAGCAGATGAACCATTCAACTGCACAGAAGATGCCTTTAATAGTTTTTTAATAATGGCAAAATGGTTGAAATAAGTTTCCGTTTGTCCTTCTTACAGAAGATCTAATTCAATGCCTCCTTTATCTGTGATATTGATATTGGTATTATTCTCTATTGGTTCATATTCGTGTTGGAATCTAATCTATTGGAAGGATATCAATAAAGATGATAGTAAGAGACGTGAGAGTAATAAACAAATGGTTATCAGCACTTGGTCAGCGAAAGCCTTCCAACTAGCTACAGCCAGGGGTTTGTGTTCTACTGCTATTCATATAATCCACTCGAGTTAATGATAAATCATTCCCTCTAAGTTTATTTACCGTAACAACATAAATGAGTGGTCACACGATATTGCATCAGATGGCAAGAACTCTCCAAAGTATGGGTCATTAGCTGTGGTAGAAGGAAATCGAAATAAATTTTAGTGTGTAAAGAAAGATTTCTCAAGAATCGTGAAGGAAATTATCAATAAAAGTTATGGGAAAATTCAAAATTTTGCAGAAATTCTAGAAGGAAAATTTTATAAAATTTTCAGAGAAAAAAAAGATTGCATAGCAATCCTGAAAGAAAGGTTTTGATGCAACTATTCCATGAGATTCCTAAAAGAAAGACTTCTATGGAATCCTAGAAGAAATATTTCTAAAATTTCCGATATTTTTTTAGTTTCAAAAGATCTTGACTTCTGATAATCCTTCGAGTGAGGGTTAGAACGTAAACCAATTCTAAAATAAATGCTGTTTACGAATTCTGGAAGAACAGGCTTTCACAAAAGCCACCGAAAAATATCTCATGAAGCTATGATTATTCCTTGATGTGTTGTAAGCAAAACAATGCAAAATCCCTCGGGTAATCAATCGTATCATTCCATCCATATGAACAACTATCGTTGTACTAGTAATGATGCAATATAGTTTGTATTATATATTAAATTTTTACACCAGATCCTACCTAGCCAATGAATCTCAGTTATTGAGAATTCAGTTTCAATGTGTAACTAAATTCTAATATTTTGTTTGATAGCATGGAAAACGTTGAAAGAAACCGATAATCGCATTGAAGCACTGTTAGATGGTTTGAGTGAATGTGAACAACTGCAGTGTGATGGTACTGTCGGATACGGTGGATCACCAGATGACACGGGCGAAACGCGTCTTGATGCTTTGATTTTTGATGGGTATTTTATTCTGTTGCCTTTCGCATTACATTGCTTTTGTAATTGACTATCGGAATGTCTTTTTTTGAGAAAGAGAAAGGAGATCAAGGATATTCTATCATCGAGAGTATTGATTATTTAGTGAATTGTAGACCTGGACATACAATGGGTGCTGTTGGATCGCTGCGTCGAATTCGATCAGCAGCCCGAGTAGCATATGCAGTTATGAAATACTCAAAACATTCATTTCTAGTCGGAGAAGCTGGTTAGTTGAATGATGATAATGACAGCAATATTTATATTAACAAGTCTTAAATTCCATTTGTAAGACGTTGTTTTCTAAATGTTTGAATCAGTAATGAGTGACTGGTGGTCAACTTAATTGCTCTCTTAGTGCTGAATATTCGTGCTCACTGCTCACGAGCCTGAACAGCTTTGCAGTTGCTCATTCGCTGCTCACGAGCAAGATTGGATCGAAACTGATGTGTAGAATGATCAAATGAGCAACTCAGCGACTCTTTTCTTCAATGTTCTGTTCTTTACCCAGCTATAAGCTTGTATTTTGGTATATAATAAGAGTAATAATGATGAGAATAATAACTGCTGGCAGCATCATCATAAGCACCCCATTGCTCAACTGAGTTGCCGTTGCTCAGCTTACTGTTTGTGCTCGTGAAGATTTACGAGTGACCCATTTCTGACCTCATCTTGAACTATCCATGTTTTTTCCGTCCAATTAAATGATGAAGGCAGTTAGAATCCATCACATGTGAAAAATTTTCAGCCACAGAATTTGCTCTAGAGATGGGTTTCAAAGAGGAATCACTTTCAACCAATCACTCACTGTTTCTGCATGAAAACTGGATAGCTAATAAATGTCAACCGAATTTTCGGAAAGTTCGCTCTTTTAATTCTTCTGCACGTCTAAACGATGGATAATACTCACGGGATTGATTGGGTTTCTTCCCTAAGCGACAGCATGTGCATCGTCACTATGCAAAGATTAATTTTGGAAAAAAGTTTGTAAGTGATGCGAACGTCGAAATAGATATTGGTCTCAATTAGTTCATTAATATAAAGTTTTATGCGAAAACATTCAGGTATGTATATATTTCGCGTACGTATATTTATTATGTCACTTAGGCGTAAATTTTTATGTCACTTAGAAGCGATTGAATATTCACGCAAAATGCTGAACAGTTTAGAACGTGTTACCGAATCCACTTACAAGCTGTGGGCCATATAAACCAAACGAAGAGTGCTCTGATTATGATGAAGTCTCTGAAAGAGTAGGTTTTTTAGATGAAGCATATTTGAATCATTGTATATTTTTTAGTTGTTCTGTTGTTCATTCATTTGGGTATGTGTATAAATTTTATCTCCAGTGAATTTGCATTAGTGAGTTCGTTTACCTGTTGAACGACCTGTCGCGTAGTTCATTTGTTGGACCTTAAGTGAGCGATTGATTTTGTTTTATGAAGGAATTATAATCAAGATAGAACTAATAGTGAAACGTTGAGGTTGTTCAACTAAGTCATGATACAATTGGTATGATTGTCGTTGACAGTGAAATGAATATTTCTGCTGGAACGTCAACCAATGGTGCTATACACAAAATTGCTGGGTTACTATTCAATTGATCGTTCATTCTTTTCATTGTTGCAGATTTTGAGTTGCCTCAACTGAATATTCATTGTGAGGAAGTTATCATTCCATTTGTATTAGTAATAATGCGAGTGAGAAATCAGAATGTCAACTCGTAATAACAAAACGTTGTTAAAACAACAGTGTTGTTGTTATGAAACGACAATATGAAATATCAAATAAAAGTTTTGCAGTCGTATTGGTGATTCACCGATTCCTGGTGCAGGTGCTTATGTGGATAATGAGATTGGAGCAGCAGCCGCAACAGGCGATGGCGACATTTTAATGCGATTTCTTCCATCGTAGGCGTCGTCGTTTTATTTTGATAGTTTTTAATAAGAATGCTCCATAATCATGCCCTTATAATATTGATAATAATTTCGATAACAACGTAAATAATGATAAAGTTCATGTTCTGTTCAGTTATCAAGCCGTGGAGGGAATGCGTAGTGGGCTGGATGTGAAGAAATCAGTTGAGATGTCGATTACGCGCATTACGCGGATATATCCGAACTTTTCGGGTGCAGTGATTGCAGTTGATAAAAATGGTAATCATTCGGCGGCATGTCATGGAATGTCCTCGTTTGGCTACTCGATTTGTGATGATTCACAGTCAGATCATGCTCGTGTCATTTTTATCGATTGTATTTGATGCGTATTTTTGTTCGTTCTCTATTTTGATTCTCGATCTACCAACCGCAGTCATTGCGAGTGGAACTGAAAATGACTGATATATGATGTTTTGTGTGCCGGAGACATTGATGCTGAGCAGAATTTGGTTTTACAGCCTGTTGACCTGTTCCCCAACGACAATCCTGATTTGCCATCGAGAGAACGAATTTAGCGTCATGGTCGTCTATTTATTCATTTGATTAATACCATTTCTTTATCTCAGTTACTGTTATCTGTTATTGATTAACGTCTAACAAAATATTCTGTTATTTCACGAAATGTTTGTATTTTCGCTGCATAATAACTATTCTTTGGTATTTTTGTTCATCACAAATTGATAAATGAATTTCATTTACATGAACAGTCGGATTTCATTCGTGATTCCTATGGCACTTTTGTTGTGCAGGCGCGTAATTGAATCGTCAGCAATGAAAAAAAAACGATAACCATTATAACAGAGATTGAAATCAACAGAATGAACAGGTATGTCGTGAATCATAATAACTATGGAGCTGTCAGTCTAGTAGCCCCGAATTATCTCCTTATGAGAACAGTTGCTCTAAAACAACGGTTATCAAGCTCTCACGCTGCAGTCCCTCATTTGGCCGTGTGGCAGACAGCCATTTCCCCTCTCCTTTGATAATCTATACTTCTCAGCTACAAATCAAGAAAAACAGCGAATTCAGTCATTGATCAAGAAGTTCTCTGTCAAGAATTCGTCGTTGATAAGAATGAAATCAATTTCTTGTGCTCAGATATGCAGTTATAAAGAAATTATCCTATTGTTGTGGAAAATATGAAGAAAAATTAATCAGCCATGATCAACCTCAGATTTCTTCGCAAGGTAAAATCTGTATTTCTTTCCCTCCTCACCCACATGGGGTTGTCCGAAGTTGTCAATCTAGTCAGTCTCACTTCCTCCTTGCGGTTGCCTGTACTTGGTTTTACGTTGAGTGCGGCTTTTTCTGAACGCTTCCATAGTAAGATGAACATTGTTTTGAGAGTATTCTAAATTACAATTGTGCACCATCAAAACAAAGTATACTGACTTTGATGATGGTATCGTGCACGAAAAATTCATTTATTCATGCATTAAATAACTTATTTAAAGCTTGCCTTAGTGCGCATAGCAAACCAATTGCTCGAAACCATTCTAAATGGGCAACGGTAACACTCACTTGTAATTCAACGGGTTTGCGTAGAACCTCAGTATGTCCAATTAATCGAAAGCAATTACGATTTACCTCAGCCACCATCAACGTCATCTACCATGACTTTCCGGATACACAGCATATGTTCTTTCTCACACCACGATTATTTACAGGAAGACCACGGAAGAACATCACCGCAAACCTCTCCTTCCCCTTTGCTAAGGTGCACCGTTTCAATCGCTCGCAAGAGCAATACTTTTCCATGATGAGGATTCATTTTAAGTTACAATTTCGAAACCAAGACGTTTTTTATTCTGGAAATTTGCTGGTTTGTAGAGAATTGAATTCTCTTTCCAATGGACTATTTGGTACTGACTAATGGAACTTCTGTTTCGACACTTTTTCCACTTCAATCGCTCCCCTAGGCATTATCTTTCATAATGAAGATTCATTTCAGGTTACAATTTCAAAAACTGCATGATGAATTTTCCTGAAACATTCTCAGTTTGGTGAGAATTGAACTTGGAATCAGTCACGAAATTTGAGCTACGACAATTTCACCTTGTTAGCTTTCACGGCTACATTCATTCTGTTCATTTTATGCACACCTCGAAAGCGTTTTCCTCTCGTTCTCTCACCCTGCGCATACGAAAGTGCATTTTGGCTTCTTTTGCCCCAACTCTTCAGCTTACACACGCATATGGCGAAATGCGTACGCACCTTTCGAAAACCGAACTAACGAAACTGACCCGCGATAGGTAAAACCTCAATAAGTAAATGAACCCCCTAGGAATGGGAAGTGGAATCACTTACTTGTCGCGCTGCTAAAATCTTGTAATTAATCCCTTTCCATCTATCAAGTGTTTCGAAACTCAGTGATTTCATTTTTATTTTTGCAATACTATTTTTAGCGGTGATCGTATAATTGTGACTTCAAAGGAGCATTTCTGTTTCTGATATGACGGCCAGGAATTCTACTCACAAGTTTCGGAATTAAGCTTCGTACTTCGCTCGACCTCAGGTTGAGTTTCAAGCGAAAATTAAACCAGAGCTAATGCCTGAATCCGATCCTGGGCTTAAATATAGATCGAAGTCATCGGTGAAAGCGTTTTTCCACAGCCACGTTAACTAGAAAATTATCAGTTCAATTATCTGTTCAGTGAATTGGAGTTTAGTTGTTATCATTGCCGCTCCGAGTGAATCTTGTTTTTTTTTTGCACACGTGATCAATATCAATTTTAAGGGACGCATATATCGTGAAGTCGTTTCCTCGCAAGATGGTTTGTATAATTTTTGTTTCCTATTATTCAAGCTTTATTTTGGAATCGTATTTTTTCATATTTGCCATCTCTAGTGGTCGCCTAAATAATAATAATAATTTAAAGCCTAAAACAAAAAGGAAATGGATCGATAACAAGAACGCAGAAACATTTCGATTGGTTCATCGTAGTCAAAAAGATCCACTGATTGCTGATGACACTGTTGGTGAACGTGTTCTGCAGCCCATTCAGAAGAAGGTTCTTTCTTAATCCACAAGGATTTTAACGACTTTCGAAAATTTTATTCCTTACAAGTGTCTTATATACCTTTAATGTTAGTGCATTTAATCTGAATGAATATGCATAATGGAAACTGTGTAAGAAAATTCTCCCTCATTTGTAATTTATAGTTTTTTCTTTCAGAATGTGGAAGAGCATATCAAATATGGTATTTATTACGATGATGATTACAATTATTTGCAGCATTTACGAGGTGTTAACGAAGTAATGAATGTATTATTTCTTCATTTATTGTATAAGAAAACATGTGTAATTTAACGGTTTAACTTAGGATAATTAGTAATAACTGCATATTAAAGTTATTTGTTGTTTAGGTGGTTGAGTGTGAAGCAGTAGAAAGAACAATCATTAGAGCACCAAAAGGAAAAGCCAATCTACCGAGTACACTTTTCGAAACCAGTGGCATCGAGTTGAATGTTGGTCTTTTAAATCAGCAGACTTTAAGAGCAGGTCTGTGATGATAATACCAATCATTATTCACATAAATATTTTGTCGTATCTTCACATGAGAATATTCGTAATACTTTCTTTGTTTATCGTTTATGATTATTGTTGTTGAGAGTAATTATTTAGTGAAGTCGATACTAATAATAACAAATGAGATTGTTTAAGAATGATGTTGCATTCTGTGTATATTTAAGATGCAATACCAGATCTGGATGAAGATATTATTGAAGCGTTAGAAGGAAGAATCGATGATGATATGGATGAATTAGAAGATGATTTTGTGCTGAGAGCAAATTGTGGTGAATTACCATCCAACCATCCGCCGGAACCTATCAAAGCAACTGCTTTTCAGAATGATCAGTCTGATCATGATACGATTAGTGATGGTGAAATAGGGTCTGAATCTAATGCACAAGGTCTTTCAGTTTGTTTCCATTCTTTTACCTTTAGTAATTATATGTATATTTGTAAATTCAATTATTAATACATTTATATAAATATGTGGTTGTGCAGGAGAGGAAAGTGGAGCTAGTGGAGAGGATGATGCGGCTTTATCGGGTCATATGGCATCTGCAAGAATAATTGACAAAAAATTCGAGCGTTTGTATGAGGAAGGGGAATCCAGCGATGATGAGGTGAGTAATGAACAACTACTACGCTTATTTTACAATGGGTTCGGTCAAGGTTCTGAAAACGTAAATGATATTGATAATTATATTATGGTTGTTACAGTAATATCAGTTTAAAAACGAAACAACACCAGTTCATTAATATATAGTGCTGAAATGTGCAAGGGAAAAGTAGATATTATAAATTACAGGAAGAAATGGAACAAAATTTGTTGGAACCAGATTCATACCGTATGAAAGAATTAGTTGACGAATGTAAAAACAACAAAACGGATCTTGTATTGGTTGGTTTTTCACTAAGTCATTCCCAAATTAATCTATTCTCATTTGATTGTTGATCGTTTATTCATTCATTTACTTAATTTTTCAACTAAAAATTCCATTCGTTCTCAAGGAAAATGATGAAATAGCAAAACGTTATGCGGTTGTGAACGAAATGAATGATGAGAGTGATAACAGCGAGAAATTCGACAAAGTTTCCATTGAACGTCCATGTGAAAAGAAAGCAAGATGGGATTGTGAGACGGTTCTATCATCGTATTCCAACATTTACAATCATCCAACAGTAATTCAAGAATGTACATCAAAACCGAAGCGCCGTCTCAAACAACGGCGTAATCCATCTTTATCCGAAGTCACCAATGATCCGCATACTCAGCAGTCAAGCCAAGTTTGATGTTTTTCGTTTTTTTTTTCTTAATTTCAAATTCTTTATTTTGCATTAATACATTTGTAGATGATGTTGATCATCGTTTGGTTTAATGATTATCAGAGGATTACTTGCAGTTATCGGAAGCAATGGACTGTTGTGAGTCTTCAGAAGCACCATCGTCTATTTGCAAGGGTGCATTTGCAAAAGAAGGCTTAGTATTAGCAGCATCCTCGTCAGTGTTGACAACTTCTCGTAGACCTGTAGACGAGAGTGCAGATGCGAAACGTGAACGTAAAAGAGCTGTTAAAGAGGCGAGAGCTGAGCGCCGTGCCGAAAAGAAGGCAAATAAACTAGCTTTTGCTGAAGAGGCGCGTCGAAGAAGTCAAGCGTCGATCAATAGTGGTGGTGGTGGTAAGAAAATTAAATGCGTTCCCATAGCGTAAAGAATCTGATTTTCATTTTTTGGTTGTTATTTGCTGTTGAATGACTCGGTAGGTAATGCCTGTCTAGTATAAAAGCGATTATACCGATATTGCCAAATTATACGTTCATTTCACAAAGTGTTATTGGTAGTACTAATTTGGTGCAGTTTGGTCAGTCACATAGATCTTAATTAATATTTTTTAAATTGATTGTTCATCATTGTCGGAGTACGCGTTGATCAGGTAAAAGTGCACTTGGCTTAATGATGTTGTAATTTTTTGTCTATTCGCGTACTTAGTTAAATTGCTGATCACTGCGATAAATGCAGATGAATATTGGTGTGGTCATTGCTTACCCCTGTTTTGTTGTTTTTGTTGAGCAGATTTTTATGTGATTTGAACGGTTTATATGAGAAGAATTTGTTCTTTTTTAATAAAGTTGTTCCTAATAAAACTGATATATTATCTTGGTTAAGGTTTATCATGTCATTACTGCATGGTAGATTTATTTGTTCATTTTGCTTTAATTTCAAATCTTATTGCCTTGTTTATGGACTCTTTCTTGGTTCTTTGCATTTTTCGTTAAGTTCGTTCAGTTTTTCCATTCATTTTGTTTTCCCATGCAACATTGCAAAAATTTATCTCATTCACGTTTGTTTTAATTCATTGATCGATTAAAATTGTCTCCTTGATCCAGCTGATTTTGCCTTTGACTTGTGAATCGTAACTCGATAAGCTGGAAGAGAGTAGTTTTCTGGGTGAATATAGGTAAGCTTGGAAGGGTGTACGTAAGCAGTCGTTTTGGTAGACAAGAAATTGTGAGGAGATTGCTGCGAGGATCTGTATTTGTTGAATAAACAAACTGGATGTGAAGTTCATCTGTGCATCCGAATGTTTGTTCAACTCATTTGTTCTGCCCACTGCTTCACGATAAAAATTTCCTTTCACCTTCACACAGTGTCACAGAACAGTTTCTTTCCCATCCGCTTACTATTTATCATTCGACATGAAGAGACTATTTTAGTTTCAAAGTGTAGTCATGTACTATCGACCATCTGAATGAGATTATTTGAAATTTCAAATTGCGACATAAAAACCTGTTTGTGATCATTATATGTTATTGTTGCATTCGTTATTTATCTCTATCATTATCATAATTTATTTTTAATTGGTTATTTGAAACTTCTATCAGCTTGCGGTTAATGCACGATTAATCTATTCGGAACCGAAATTGCTGCAAATGCTATTTGAATTTTTAGTGATAGCGAAAATAAGAAACCTAATATCGAACAGATTTGTTCAGTTATTGAATGGAATTATGAGAGTGTAAACACTGAAAAAAATTGAATATACTCCGAAATGATTGGTTATCAATCGATTCAGAAGAACTGATTCAAATATTACTGTTGCATAAGACAGTGCATTGAATTGTAACGCATCGTATTTTGTTATTAAGCCCTTCTAGGTGATCTTATAATTACTACATATCAACTACAGTAAGCATTAACGTGTGATGAAGTGTTTAATGAACAACTTTTGGAAGTAGATTCCATAGGAATAATATTTGCGCACAAATAATATGAAATGTTTCCGATTGTTAGGCTTTCTTATCTTCTTCATCTGTTGGTGACGTTTCCTTCAAAATAAATTAAGTAATTAGTTGTGTTTCAAACTAAAAACTGGTATTGTTATACTGTTTTTTAATCCATTTTTCGTTGTTTCCCCGACCTCGCACACACATACCACCTTTGTTTGTTTTTTTTACCGCTTGTTTGTATACATTTGTTCTCTTTTTTTTTCTTTACGTTATCTCGCAACATTTTTCTTTTGAGTTTTCTCCTTTTTTACTTATTTTTAGCTGTGCTTATGTGTGTAAGTTAGTGCGTTGCTGACACTTCACAATACACGCTTGCTAGATGCCACTTCCCAGTGAAACGTCAAAAACTTACAGGTATTTCGTAGGTGTGCAAAGGGTATTTGTGTGTTGATGTATGGTTTGCATATTTTATATATGTTTTAATGCAAAATCTTTATCAATGAATGTTTTGTTAAAATTATCGTTGTTGTTATCGATAACAACGCTTCATCAAATCACCCATGCAATCAACTGGGATAGTGAAATAGTTGCAACATCGAAAGAATTGGAACTGGCTAGTCATGATGCCTTAGCAAAGTATTTTAATGGTCATTTGAATGATGAGAATATATTTCGTTCACGTCAAAGTATGCAGAAATTGGTTGGCGATTTTGTGGACGTCGATAATTCCAGGTGATTTATCAGTTTAAGCGCAATGTATTTGTTCTTCGAGAGTGTATGCTTCATCTACGATTCATAACACACAAGAATAGTGCTCATTTCGAAGCATTCCAGCATGGTGAACCACAATTATGATAATATGACTGCATGGCTGAAAGAATATGCGACGAAATATCCGAATATAACGTATCTCTATTCGATTGGTCAAAGTCTGGAGGGTCGAGAGTTATGGATTATGGTGATTTCGAAGTACCCACAAGCACATCAACTTGGAATACCCGAATTTAAGTATGTCGGCAACATGCATGGCAATGAGGTATTATTATTTTAACATTATTATTATCTTTATGGAACAAACATGACACATATGATCATTGATTCGTTGTTTCCTTTCGAGGTTGTTGGACGTGAGGCGTTGTTGTATTTGATAGCGATTCTCTGTGAGAATTATGGTAAAAATGATTATATGACAAAAATGGTTGATACGACACGCATACACATAATGCCGTCAATGAATCCGGATGGTTATGAACGCGGATATATTGGTGATCGTACTGGATATAAAGTTAGTTTGTTTGATGCTTCCATTGATTTTATGCATCTCCTTCTTTATCTGTTTTCTTTTTGATACAGGGTCGTGGTAATGCACACGATGTTGACTTGAATCGTAATTTTCCACCTCGATTCCCGGGACATCGTGAGAACACAGGTGGCTTTGGTCCAGAGAAGGAAACTATGCTGATGATGAAATGGTTCATTTATCTCCCATTTGTATTGTCAGCAAATCTACACGGAGGTTCATTACATAATCACTTCGGATATTCTTTTTATCAATCCACTATTAAACATTTTTATTATGCGTAATGTTTCTGAAGCACTGCTACGAAACGGATGCGCTTTTTTACCGAATTCATGTCGTTTGGCTGTGGATTATAGTTGTGAATTATCGAAGGTTTTTATTTAAATAATTGATAATCATATAATGATATTATTCTCGACATGTAATACTAATTATTATCATTAAATTGGTGTCTTCGATGTTTAGGCTCACTTGTTGCTAACTATCCGTATGATGATTCATTGACTGGCCAGGATGGAATTTATACAGCATCTGCGGACGATCGTTTATTTGTTGCATTATCTTATACATATGCTCGTGCACATGAAAATATGTGGAAAACTGGTCGAAGGTGTTTCATTATCTTAATGATGTCATTGTTATTAATTTTTATATGTTTCTGACTGGTTCAGATTGAAAAGTTTCGATGTGATGGACTTCGGAATATAGGCATTCATTGAAATGCGTTGTTGATAAAATGGGTGAACGTAACCAAACTTGAAGCTCTTTTTGTATAAGACCATATAGTAAGTGAGCATAATAAGTACAATATAGTAAGTGATAATTTAATAAGAATAATATTAGAATTGCGATTCAATCAGTTGAATACTGACAGATGTGGTTTGAACGTGAATGGTGATTCGTTCTTGAATGGTATTACGAACGGTGCTGGCTGGTATCACTTAGCTGGTGGCATGCAAGATTGGCAATATTCGCATACTAACTGTATGGAAATTACCATCGAGATGGGTTGCTTCAAATTTCCATATAATGTAATGTTACCGAAATTGTGGAGCGAACATAAATACTCACTGTTAGCCTTCATGGAGTTTGTTCATAGAGGTATTATTATTATTTTATTACTGTTATCATATATCACTATCAACACCATTATCATTGAGGAAGTTGAGTAGATATGGTCGTCGTAATCGATATTTGAATTAATTGGAGAAATACTTTTCAAATGTTTTCAGGGCTGAAAGGGTTTGTTTTCAATTCGGATGCTGAAGCGGTAGGCGGTGCTGTTTTATCGGTGAACGAAGGTAAAAACATTACCACCACTCGCGATGGAGAATTTTGGCGTATTCTTCTACCTGGAAAATACAAGGTGCTTGTTTTAACTGCTGTTAACATTTCAGAGGTGTGATGTATTGGTGAAAATGTTAACAATTTACTAATGATATTTTTATTTTAGATGGTTATATCGCATAGAGATTATGAAACGAAAACACTCGATATTGAAGTAGAAAGTGGTATCGCAAAACAAGTCAATATCACTTTAGCTGATAAAGTTTGTAAGCCAAGTATGTCAATTTCCATTCTTAAAAACAAATATTTTCAAATTATCGGTTCATTTATTCATTCATATCAACACGATCTGTATTTCTTCTTTAATAACCATCGTAAACGAAATGGACAAAAGCTGTGTGTTCTTTTCCACTTATTCTTATTAAGGTTTCCCCTGCAACTTAGGTGGAGGCCGCTGTGGGCTGTTAATATGAATTCTATCTTAACTGTTTGATCATCGTTTTTTGCATTTTTAATTTACGAAGGAGATTGACAACGTCGATTAAAAATTTGAAAAACTAGTAACTATTGATAAAACAAGTAATGATAAAACTTACAGTCAAAGGCGATATACATATTCGTGGGCATGGTCATCGAATAAATGTTGCTCTAGTCGGTGTAGACTCATTTGCTGAGCAAATCATATCATCACTCTTGAACATAACGTGTAAAAGTAATGAACTGTTCAATGAAATATTCAATAACGCTACCCTTCATATTGTAACGCTCTTCTCATCAAAACTTCATAATCAGTATTTTAAGGTAATTGATTTCTTCATTCATTTATCACTCATTTGCTAATTTTCATCTCAGCTGAATGCTTTTAACTTTCAGGAGCAAACATCATTAGATGCATTAATCGTGCTCGGCCAAGGTGCGTCAAAGTCAACGATGTTTAGTGCTGGTGAACTGACACCATTATCTTTCAATCAATCCGAATTCGATGAAACACTTCGAAAGTTTGTTTCATTGCTGATTTATAATTCACTGCTCAAAATCAAAACAATCGGCATCTGGACGCTGCTTTGTTATTATTAGACCTTATCATTGAGTTAGCATTGATTTTATATATACAGCAGTAGAAACCAAGGATGCCGAGGCTACGGAGCCGAAAAAAAAATTGGCTTTCGCAAGAAAATAGTAGCATTTAGTAGCCGGAGCTAAGATCGGCTGGAGAGTTCCTTTCTAAATCCGGATTGTTGCGAAACTGGGGCGAAGCGAAACAAATTTCGGAGCTGGAGCAAAAATTTTGGTAACGTGGAACAAACCGTTCTAACGTTTTCTTGAAAATGAAATTGATTGGATTACATTATGTAGAATTTGATAGTGTAACTCGCATATTTTTGTTATATTGTATTGATACCCATTTATTAAAGACTGTTCACGAATGTTTCGAATGGATGTGAAAATCGTTTATTGGATTCGGATGTATCGTCGATGGTCGATATGATGAATTTAAGAAATACGTTTCAGTTGGGCATTTCAATGGGATGTTCTCATTATGATCAAAATATCTCTATGGTTGCATTATCTGCTGTATTACAGGTTAGTGTTCATTTTTAATACTATTAGTGACAAAAATATTGCTACTATTATTATTATTATTATTATTGGCACTATTGTTTATTATATATCATCAATATCACGAATAATTGTGTGACATTATTTCTATTGCTGATTCGAAGAGTATAGTATTGAAATTGTTGAATTTACTGAAATGAATTATTCATGTCACGATATGAAAATTTTTAGACAATTGTAAGCATATATGCTGATCGGAAAGATCGCGTCAATGAATATTCAGTAGTGCCATCGGCAAATCCAACTGATCACTTTTTACCTTCTGAAGTGATAATGGCAACAAGTGCTGGACTAGAACGCATTCAACAAATGCATTGTGCTGAAACAATCAGTATTACTGATGGATTAAATGCACTTCTATTCGGACCGTCATTCAGATCACATACATTGATTATTGCTGTTGAACAAGTTGGTACTATATTTTATTCGTTCATTTTATCCAACAGCAATGTCACGCTCATCTATTTTCAGAAAACGGAAACTCTTGTGTATGAGTTGGCGTCACGTTTATGCGATGCATCTTCGCAACAGACGACGAATATGAACATTAATTTTAGCGATACGCCGCAATACGACGACGATAATAATAATAAGATATTGTCACCTCTAAAAGCCGTATTGCGTTCATCAACATTAGTATTAATCCCAGAAATTCCACATACGCAATTGAATTGTCATGATTATTCGTCAGTCGTACCATTTGAACCACTAGTAACCAAAATTGTTCAACATTTTCCATTAATCGATTACGTTATATTTGCGGCAAGTGGCGGTTTAAAAGTGCGTTACATAAACGGTAATTCGACTGGTCTTGCGAAGCAGTTTGCCATTGAATATGCACAAAAGCATTATTTAATGAATGTCGATAAACCTGAAATGTGCTCGTTAGTTTTTTGAAGTGTTCTTTGTTATCATTTATCGTTGTTCTTGTATTTGTGTTGGCATCATTAATGGGCACGGTTCAACTCCTCTTCATAGCGATGAACGTAGTTGTACGATCGTGGAGAGTCGTTTACTTCAGATAAGGACGTAGTGACGGAGAATTGTAGAATGCAGATCCACATGATGCATGTCATTTTAACTTTTAAAAATTACTTTTATATAGTAATGCGGAGTCATCACGTGCCACAGTAGCAGAACTAAAATGGGATAAGCATTCATGGCCTAATTCATATAACACACTTGATGGATTATTGGTACAAACAGCGTGTTGTTATGAAGAACGTGGCTCTGGACATCTCTATGATGAAAATATAGATTCAATCGTTGCCGTTCTCAGATTGGTATTCATTCTTACTGATTACTTTTATTTAGTTTTTACGTTCTTCCCTACCTTTTTCTGATTTCTATATTCCAACGCTTTGCTATGTTTCATTCCTCTATTCTGTCTATTTATAGAAAACGCAAGGTGTTGCTGGACATATATTGACGACCTCATTAATCGTTAACAGAAACTCATTAGATAAAAGTTTAACGGCATCCGTTAGCATAAATGATAGTACAAATGTTAATATAACTTTGAATAATGGGTATTACTTCATTTGGTTACCGCAAGGAACGCATCAGCTCTCATTTATGATTCAAGGATATATGAAGACATCATTCACTGTTAAGGTTACTTTTATGAGCTGTTTATTATCATTATTTTTCTTCTTTATGTTTCGTATGTTCATTATCTTTGTTTCAAGTAGTTCTCATTTTTTGTTGGTGTTATTGATTCAGTTTTCTGAGACATTTTATACAAGAAAAATGTTTTAAAACGTTCAGCTGAATTAGCACTTTCTGCATAACTAAAAGTGCAAACCTAGATTAGCTTTTTTTAACTGAGGGGTAACAATACTTAAAATATGCCATGACACCATGAATTCGACAGCAGGAGTCATTTTTTAAAAAAAAATGAGTGTGCTCGAAATTGAATGTAGATTTAGAAACGTCTTCAGAGTTGAAAATCTTTTCGCAAAGAATCGACGATAAGTTGCGTACAGAAACCGCTTTGATTGTTCTTTTATTTCTTATCGTCACCAGCACTGTTGCCTTCCACATCAGCGTGCTGTAGCAACAACAATTGCTCAATCAGCAAAGTCTAGCAAGCAAGCAAGCATTATTCAGTAATATTGCCAAAAAAGTCTCGAAATATCGGCCACCCATGAAGTGAGGTGTGATACCTGATTTGTGCTTATTACGACACAAGAACACTCGATCATCTTGAAATATAATATATCACGATATTTGTTCTACATTATTTAATGGTATATTACATGATTTATTCAGACATATACCGTTTTATAGGTGAATCAATTCTCTCAAACACTTCGTAATATTCGATTATCGAAACCATTCAAAGTGTCATCTCTGTTCACTTCCTCAAATATCGTCGTCACTTTGATCGCATTCGTTGTGATGGCTGCTGTCTTTGTGAGTTTTTCAATTTCGTTTCTCAGTTTTGAAATCATTTCATTCATATTCTTATCACCACTACCATTATGGCACCTGTATCATTATCATCATTAAGAAAACTTTCACTCGCGCTGTGCCACTAATATTTATAAGAGTAATATTATAATTATCATTCCGAGCATTATTGTTGTCACTGTTGTTTTCGTATGTAATGAATGCATGTTCGAGATGTATTCATTGATTTTTAGGTGTGCATTTATGAGCTATTTTGCAATCGTGGCGTGAATGGCGGCCGTCCATGGGAGGATGGTTTTGAGCGTTTGCCATTGAATGAAGTGGATAGTGATAATAGTTGGGATGATGAGAATGAAGCGTTCACTGATGTTGACAATGAACGACGAACAAAGCAGATTTTGTAATGGTTGTTTATTTATTTGCCAACTGCAATTTCTTATGACAATTACGCATCAGTTATGCACTTGAATACATCGAATCACCAAAATACTGTTATTATCGTTTCTTTGGTCCTGTTTATCCACTAATGCATTCGTTTTATTAATTTATCTGTTCGCAGATTCAGTGACGGTCGTTAGAATGTTTTAAAATGATGCTAATTTAACGGGTTAACCCTCATATGTTGTGCCTTTCTGGAACTTCATATTTACTCTTACTTACCTGTATACAATCCGTTCGTTTTTGTTCTAAACAAAATTGTTGATTCAGTTGCAAAATTCCATACGGATCAACACTTCTTTATTAGACCATAACTAGCGCATCGTAAATTTCGCTTAAAAAGTGTCGTGAAAAATTAATGTTGAGTCTCGAAATTTGTTCCCTTTAATTTAAAAATCCAGCCTATTGTATCGTTAATCTGAGGTGTTTTTGAATAGTATAAAATGAAAATTCAAAAGAAAAATTGATAGTTGAGTGAAAATGATCTTAATTTAAACGTTGATGGTTTTTTGAGTGAAAAAATTACCACAGTTTCATTTATTCCAGTAAATTTTGTGCCACAACATCGACTCAATCTACCACAAATCTAACTCTCATTGTTTTTCTCACCTCACAGTCGATTGTGATCGTAAATAACCTCCTTTTCTAGGCCGCCACGAGTTTCACTGTTTTGCTTAAATTCTGAAGTCTATTTGTTGTGAATGCAACTGTTCACTTATGTTATTTGACTGAATTTATTTGACATCGAATATTGCGCAATGATGTATCATATCACTGTTATACCGCTTCATAATTGTACCAATGCTGTTGCATAATTGATTCATTTTATTCCGTAAAATCTCTTCTGCACATCACACTAATACTCATTTTTCTTTCACAATTGATCAAGCTATTTATTGTTCACTTCATATTGTGATTATTCTTTATGTGATCATCAACCATTGTTTCACTTACTTCTTCATGAATTTCACTTTGTTAATTTATTATCGTTCTAGTTTTTCATTGTTGTTTATGCTCATGAATGTTTGAATATTACTGTTGAAAATTGTTATTATTGTTTTTTGATTATTGTTCATTTTTTGTTGCTCTTTTTCAATTCATTCACTTATTCTTGAATCTGATTGTGTCTTATGAAAGGAAAATATTTTTCATTTTCTAATTCATCTTTCAATTTGTAAGCTGAATTTTGGTGCACAATTGTCTCGTGAAAATTTTTTGTTTTGTATTCTTCCTATTTATTGACTGTCGAAGAATTTGCTACCTAATTATTTCATCGAAATCTGTGCCAGTTTTTTGAGCTAATTTTCGAAAGTATATCCTATTTATGCAGTCTATTGATTTTCGTGTTATACAAATGACTGTGATCACGTCTATTGGTCTTTTAACAGTTTTTATGTGTAAGTTAATATAAGTTAACATTCAGTGTGCTTTATATAAATTGGTTGCGGTCATTGCGTTCTTTTCTTTTCATAAATTAATCGTTAAAAGTCCTTCATTGGAACAACCGAAACTTTTCGAAATTAGTTCATCTTTAAATTGATATATTTATGATGCACACGATTTTTTAATTGACGTGAAAAAGTTAGAGTCCATTCAGATTTCAGTTAGTGAGATTTTTTGTTGCGCAAATCGAATTATTCACTCCCATCGTATAGTACATATAAGAAGCGCATCAAATTTTTCTTGGTTAACGCCGAATCTAATTTCACCACATTCGTTGATTGAAGGTAGCTGTGGCAACTGGCCACATTGGTGTTGATTTTCAAGAATTATTGATAATATTATAGTAATAACGATAGAAATAATAGTTGCAATGGTAATTAATATCATTAATACAACTCTTACTCCACGATGTGTGATTTACAGTCAGTTTTTGCAGTAATCGATCATCGTTTTCAAATCAGTTCATGTAAAATATGCGTCAGGAATGTCGCTATAAAAATGTGATATTTTTATGTATTAGGTCCAGCAGAAAGTTCTTGGCCAGTTATCAGGCCCTACTAAAACTTGAAGTCCGTCGATTTTTTGATTCCAGGGATCCATGTTCTTATGATACAAAGACGAATGCTCTGGTTTCCCGTTGGCAGCGTTGTGTAGAGGCGAACGGTTTTTATTTTGAATAAACATGTTGATTTTGAGCCGAGTTATGAAATTTTGGGTCTAACTAACCAGGGACTTTCTGCTAGATCTAATAGAATGACTGCCGAAAATGAGTATGAATTGTTTGTTTTTAAAGAATTTTCGTTTATGTTTTCGCTCTTAATTGAATGCAAGTGCTCATAATGAGACCGTGAAACACTGCAATCATTCCAGTAATTCATCAGATGATTGCAAAACATTCGTTTCCCCTCTGCATCACCTATTTAAGCTATTGATTCGCATGGTTATTCAGTTAATGGTGTTGTGGTGGAGGGATGCAATTTAATCACTTGTTCATTCCAATTAATTGATCTTACATATCGACAACTCTCTATTATCAGTTTTTTAAAACCTTCTTTTGACAATAAACGAATCCATGAAATTCTCTGCTTGTGGTTTCAAGAGATCATTCAACTCAATTTTGCGCTTCGTTCCTTTTGCAAGTAAGTGTCTGTCGCTCGGTTATCTTGTAATTCACTTATTGCTTAAAATAACGCATCATGAGAGTGGCAGTGCAGTTATCGAAGAATCAGTGATCAATTTAACACAATGAATGATATTTTGCAATATCAATAAGTAAGCTTATATCACCTACTTACTGATACACAAAATGTCACTGTATTAAACTGATCTACGATATACTAATTAATTAGTCAGTCTGGATGATTTCCAATAAACTAATTAATGAAGTCACCATCTTCATGATCGTGAAACGTTTGGCATTGTGTTGAGATGACTAGCGATAGATATTGTTATCAATTGATTGCATCAATAGTATATTCGAATGTGATTCGTTTTACACAACGTTTGACCGTATTTGGTTTTAAAATTAGAGTCGGATGAAGCTGAGACTCAGACTCGAACTCTCGAACGTTCATGAGGAGGAAGCGATCGTCTATCTTCAGCTAACAGTCTCTCAATCAGATGCAACATTACTGTTGGGTGATTTCTTTCGATAATGATCGTTCTTTGATTTCTACGGGAAAAGTTAGAAGCGAGTAGGGAAACGGATTCACCCTTATTAGACAGTTGCTTACGGCAATCAGCACATCTCGCAGTTATAATTTAATTTCGTTATCAAAACTTATGATTATGCAACTTTTTTGTGCATTTATAATCTTATTGTTTTTGTGTATATATAATCTTAATACATGAATTTATTCATTTGTTTATACACTTTTCGTCGGTAACACCTCAACTTTTGGTTCTTCTAAGCGTTGCTTTCGTTCTCCATAGAAAGATTGCTTATCGGCCAAATAGACGATGAACCTTCATCATGAAAAATGTAATTATTAGTCACCTGTTAATGCTTTTGAAGTTTACCGACTGGTTCGGTACTTGTTAATTGTTTTTAGTTATATGCAGTTATTGTTTGTTTCTTGAAAGTTTTTATCTTCTCATAAGGTGCTCGAAATAAAATTCAATCGATATACTCACTGACCTCTTATTAACACCCATAATACCCACCATTGCAGCGGCAGTCATATGAAACATAATCGCAAGTAAATAAATCCAAAATGGCCCCAGCAAACTTTCAAATTTTTTCACTGAAACGAGTAATTCGGGCGATTTTGCGGTCAGTGCAGTTCGACTTCCTGAAAAAAAAGTGGCACTTTTAGGATTTTTTGTTTCCAATAATATAAAATTTTTAATATCACACCAGTGGATGTAGAGATCAGTTCATGTTCGACAACAAACTGAAGACAATGCCTTTTTTAAAATTTGCTACAATTCTAGTATTTAAGTACTACAACCTTTTCGAAGTGAATATATTTCTCCACATTTTGAGGGAATAATTTCTATCGATAAGAGAAAAAGGTAACGACATATTTTTGAATTCGAAGCGCCAGACATTTTTTGGATTGAACTTATTTGGTCATTTGACTGAATTCTATCATATTTGATTCGGTAAAATTCATTCAACAAAACTATTTATATTTACTCACCAATAGCCATTACAAATATGATTGAAACGGCAATTATATCACATAAGACAATCATGAACATTAGAATTGTAATCTGACACTGAAGAATTGATGCCCTCTCTAATATTACACCACAAAACTGCAAATTATTCATTGTTTTCGCCACTAGTTTTGAGAATATCACATGAATTGAATGTGTTTACATGTCACAAATATTGTTTTGATGAAGCAAATAATAACTAATCTGCATTATCAGTTTACAATCATTCATTATCAGTTAATTTTTTGCAAAACATTTCAAACAGCTCACCGCACAAATATTTCCTACAGCACTGAGAAACGCTAAGCAAGAGACGATCGGTGTGATCAGCCATGATGCTTCGATGAAGCCGTTTTTCTCCATTAGAAAATAAAGGAAAATCAATATCACCGAGAAGACGACCTGAAAATTATGTTCAACTTCATACCAACCACAAAATTTATAAATACACACAGCATAAATAAAGTAAGAATTTGTTTTGATAAATTCTAAGTGGCTGAAAAACTTTCATTTAACCTGCACTGCTGTACATACATAAACCGCCGTGCTAGCGTGCAATATTTCGCAGCATGCCGTTGGATAGTAGAGTGCACTGTGATCATCGAATTTATTGTCCATCTGAAATTGACACTGTGAACCAGCAATTGGATCAGTTTAAGTTTCCCATAAATTTTCTATCAGTTTTCAATGTATCATTCTTTTGTTGTAATTACTGCTTTCATTGCTTTGAAATATTTTTCAAAAATCATAACGATCACATAATGCAAAGGTTCTTAAAAGGAGATGACTTCCGTCTGGAAGGTTAGCTGTAGTGAATGCCTTATTGTAGGCATTGTTTGAGAAAGGATGAATGGCAGTCCATCACATAGTTAAAGGAATGTACAGATGCAAAGAGTTTGCGAACTGCTCACTTATCGTTAGTATAAGAAATGTGAACTAACTTGGTTCTTGTGTGAAATCATAATTACCAATGTTGATCTGGAAAGCTTGAGGTGGATTTCTTCTGGAGAAATTTAAAATTGGTGTGGAAAGCTGAAGGTAATAATAATCAAATAGAAATCGATTCACTGAAAGAAAAAACAGACTTTATTTCAAAAAATTCACGTCTGTCAAATGATGTCCGTATGTAGATATTCGTAACGAAATTCATCTTGGAGTCACGCCCAACGTTCGATCTCTTTTAATGATCAATCGATTAATTGTTTCGCGATCAAGTTCGATTGACTGAANAATTAACTATTATGTGACATTAACGATATCAGTAAATCATTCGGTTCCAAGCAAAACGTTGATCCACAAGTGAAACTCGGTTAAAAGTGGACAGACAATTAATGTGTGATTGATTCACTGAAATTTAAATTCAACAAAAAAAATGTAACACATCTTAGCTATGTGATGGCTACACCAGTCAAATTTTTTGAAAAAAAAAACTACGATAATGGAATCGTTGGAATGGCGGAATAAGCCTAAACGTAACAATGGAATTGAGGTAGGTATACTGTAATAGATGAATACTCATATGTAAAATTGTATGCTTTATTCAGAACTAGCAGTCACAGATGAAACAAACAATTAAATGAACAGAAAGTATGCAAGTCGAGTAAAAAATAAAGTAAGTGATTAATGGTGAATTTTTCACGTATTAAATCCAAACGATAGTTTCATTTTAAATTGAAGTATTGAACAGTACCAGTCATAGTATCGGTTGGTAAATTTTATTCATTGAGAGTTGCATTGAATTGTGGTGAATGACGATGGACATTTGAACAGAATTGATTCATCACAATCCTATTATTGCATGCCAATAGTTGCTGATGTTTGAGTGCAATGTGTTTCTTTGAAATAATTGTCTCATGATTGTATCTGTTTGTGACATTATCGCTCTAAAATTCAGATTTTTTTTTTTGCACATTGTTTGTGGTCGATGAAATATCTGTTGAGAGTGGACGAGGCGCAGTG